TGTCAGAAAGAAGCCCAGGTACATTCTGGCTTTCTTCCAATTTTTATGTTTTTTCTTATTATATTTTCAATTGGACAGAACCTCCCAGACAAAAGGGAATGGAGGAGTTGCTACAGCACAATAATCATTTCAACTTTATTATTTCACCTTGTTACCATTATATTTATTAAAGTGTTATACAGTGTTTCATCATTTTTCTTATTCTAAATCTATTATATATTGATTGTAAGGATATTTATTATATTACATACATTTTTATTTTCTATGCCACTTATATATAATTTTATTACAAACTATTTCATATTACATTTATTATTCCCCTATAAATATTATAACTAAATTCCTAGATTTGGTTCGAACGTCAAGATTTTGAAGACGTCTGGTATTACACCGATGTCTAATTACGACGGTATGGGGAACGATGAATTGAAGGTACGAAATCAGTGGGTTTGATCGCATCTTAGAACTTACGATAGTGTCGTTTAATAATCTATTTATAAAGGCTATAATTTTTTATAGCGAGAACTAGCCAAATTTGGCCTGAAGCCAATGGGCAGGAAACGAGCGATCGCTATACTGAAGAAAATTTACTCAGAAGTACATCCAGGTAAAATCAAACCATACCCATATCTGTTCTGTACAGTGCACGATGCTCTTTGTCAGTAATCGATCCGTCTACACCCACTATAAGGCCACTCGTTGCCGACCAGAAGGGTGATGGTACGCCCATTTCATCCCGCAACGCGAAGTCGAAAATTCAACGAAAACGAGGGAATGTGGTGACGGTAGCGAAGGATACGGTGACGATGTCGACAGAGGAACCGTCAATATCTAACGTTCGACTGGGTAGTGTGGATGACGACGAGGATGGTGAGTTGTTCACCCATCGCAAATCAACTTTCTCAAGACATGGAAATGGAGTTGAAAACAGTTAAATAGTTCCTGTCCTACAGGATGAAATTGTGTAGTAGAAAACCTAAATTCTTGTGGTTTGACAAGACGACTACATTTGCCGCTTTCCGTGATCATAGGAAATATTTGAGTAGGAATTCGTAACCTGTCCGGTTTGTTATACGGGGTTCCAGCCATTTTGTTTATCCCTTAAAATTTATCATTTCGAAAACAAGCAAAAATTTTAGATGATTTCGCTGATCTCGGAGATAAGACATTGAATGAGCCACGTGATGAGCCACTAGAAGAGAGCATGATCGATGATACAGGGCTTCTACCAAAGGTAGTTATTTCAAAATACCTTTTTTTTCTCATTTTCCTATCATGCCAGTAGTGCTCGCTCCTTTTTACGTTCGCAGTAGGTTTTGCGGTTGAATGCCCATATTCGAGTTATTTCAGGATTTGGATGGTATGACAGACGTGTTTCTCAAATGGTTACGTCAGCCAGCTAACGACGATCTGTACAATCATCTGCTATCATTGCAACCTGTACTCATTGTGAGCTTTCACGATTAAATAGGAAATCACCTCAAAAACATATACTTGCGTCTTTAAATATCGAAAAAGTATTGAAAAAATAGGATAAGTGACACATCAGAAATTTTATTGAATTATTCAAGGAAGAACTGCATCATCGCATGTCGCGAGCCGACACGGCTGTCTGTGTTATTCCAAGGAAAGCGTTAGCAAACATATTAGACCGCCTGGGTGTGACTTTTTCAATGCCTCAAGTCTATGGACGTACGAAAGCCAGGAAATGATAAACAATGCTCTGCTTTCATTCATTCCTTCGCTTTTTGCTTGCTCTCTCAGCTTTTTCCGGTGTACATTTACCTTATTACCTATTGCCAATGGTCTCACATTCACTCTGTTTGATGATCGTATTGTTAGGGTTCCTGTAGCTCTACGTTATAGTTTACTCACAAGTGTCGCTAGATCTGGTCAGCTGAACGTGTTATTATAGTTTTACAACGGAGGATCCCTTCTATTTTCTTTGTTGATGAGCTTCTTACTTGCCCATCAGACCTTAACTATTCTACCTTCTACCTGTGAAACGTTTCTGTGCATTTATGGTAAACTGCCATTAGATTTTGAGAAATAACTGTAAATTACTCACGATATGTTGTTAAATAAAAATGAAGCCCTAGACAGTGTTCCACTACCTCCCGATCAATCATTCTACCTCGTCATTTACATCATTGAAGTCGAACAAGGTCAGAACTGATCCCTTTCGGCTCACAATCAAGTTCAGAACTTTCTGGATCCTGAAGTTACCCTCGAGTATAGGTACTGGTTGTGAAGCTCATAGAACGGGCCTCTATGAAGCCTCAAGATTTGGACGCTTCTCTAATCACATGCTAGAAAGCCTTGCACAACATGACGTGAATTCTTTGGTTTTATGAGAACTAAAATAGATCACTTCATGAATAGTAAGAGACCGTAAGATGAAATCATAGGTGATTCTCCCGCTCCTTAAAGGCACCGTTCACGATAAAAATGTTATTGAGCTCTCACCTTATTAACACTCAGCGGCCCCCATGGGTTGTAGAAAGGACCCTCTCACTCCCCCAATCTCGACGTCCAGGGCATAGTGGCAGCCCCGTTGTTGCTGTCGTTCGCGTTTCCGCCCCTCGATCGTTGTCACGTTAGACGAGTGTTGAGACAATACAGATTGCTATTATTCGTTCTAGGATTCACGCACAAACAGCTAATCGCCGAGTGATGAGGCGATGTTTTTCTCTAATTCTTCTTTCCTCTGTCTTTCTTTTTGCTGCCGCGATCCCTTATTTAATTTCGTACTCCTAGAGGCTGAAAA